TGCAGGATGATAAATAAATAATACTTGTGATTAAAAGGACACATTGGGACCAATGAGTAGAGAACTACAGTATAGCTCAGAGGAAATAAAATCCCCACCTGGCCATGAGGATAAGAGTGGGAATTCAGGGGCTGGGAAGGTGGCTCAGTGGTAGAGCACTTGCCTTGCATGCATGAGGCCCTGGGTTCAATTCCTCAGCACCACATAAGCAAAAAAAAAAAAAAAAAGAGTGGGAATTCACTGTCACTTGGGTGCCGTATGCTGACACTCCACCAAGTGCTCTTCTGACTCCCATCTGAGCCATGAAGAAACTAGGTTTCAAGATGTCAAATGGCTCTCACAGTGAGGGGCAGATTCTCCACCAGCAGCCTGGTTACTGGCCCTCTGAGAAAAGCTGACTGCAGAGGTGTGACAAAACGTAGCCTGGAGGCTGACTTGAACTCCCTCTCTCTCCCCTCTACACACAGTAATTCTAATATGTCTCAGCTCATGGCAACACTGAACATCTGCATAGTGTTATATCTCAGGCTTCTAGAAAAATCTGAGGCTGTGGCCACAGGGACTTTGTTCTATATGGCCATTTAAGCCAATAATTTGCAAGCCTGTCCCACCTAGATGTGGAGTCTGTTTGCTAGCTCAGGTCTGGGCTGACCATAGGACTTGACTGGACTGTCAGCTCCAAAGTCCTTGCCTTCTCCCCTGCCTGAGACCCCTGCAGCCACCAGGTATCCATCCAACCTTCAGGAAGAAGAAAAACGATGCAGCCAAAGCTGCAGACCCATAATCAGCTACAGATGACTGCACATAGGATGGGTGCTCAGCCATGGGTCCTCAGAAGAACCACTTGCTGAGCCCAACTGAATCAGGCAGAAATGTGAAGACACCAATGTTGTCTTAAGCCACTGTATTTTGAGGAGACATCATCTAGCACAAGTTGCTCCGTAGCAACAATTCCCAAAGGCTGGGCTACAGCTTCATTCTACATGAGATCTGTTGTCTCCACACTCTCCCGTATTCCCTTTGTCCTGCATCTGACACTCCGCTTTCCTGGTTTCTGTAGTCTGAGAGGGAAATGAGTACTGGGGCTTGAACTCAAGACCCTATATTCTTCTTTTTCTCTTTCTTTCTTTCTTTCTTTCTTTCTTTCTTTCTTTCTTTTTTTGCTGGTTTTGATGCTTGAACTCAGGACTTGGGCACTGTCCCTGAGCCTGTTTGTGCTCAAGGCTAATGCTCTACCACTTGAGCCACTTGAGTGCCACTTCTGGCTTTTTCTGAGTAGTTTATTGGAGATAAGTTTCACAGATTTTCTTGCCTTGGCTGGCTTCAAACCGCGATCCTCAGATCTCAGCCTCCTAAGTAGCTAGGATTACAGGCCTCAGCTACCAGCACCCAGCAAGACCCTATATTCTTGCTTGGCTTTTTTGGCTCAAGGCTTACCACTCTTCCACTTGAGCCACAGGTGGATAATTCCTACCCAGAGCTGGCTTCAACCTATGATCCTAACATCTCAGCTTCCTTCACCAACTTGTTGACGTTGTCCCAGAGAAGATACAACTCTTCTGGGTATAAATAAGAGGCAGAACAACTTTCAGGAAAGGGCTGACAAATTACTATTAAATATACAAAAGATGAGCTGGGCACTGATGGCTCCTGCCTGTAATCCTAGCTACTCAGGAGGCTAAGATATGAGTATCTCTGTTCAAAGCCAGCCTGAGCAAGTAAGTCTGTGAGATTCTTATTTCCAATTAACCACCAGGAAACCAGAAGTGCCATTGTGGCTCAAGAGGTAAAGCACTCACCTTGAGCTGAAGAGCTCAGGGACAGTGCCCAGGTTCAGAGTTCAAGCCTCATGACTGGAAAAAAAAAAAAAATATATATATATATATATATATGATCAACTGAAGTCATAAGATAAATACAAAATAAAACTATACCAAAGGCTAAACTCTGGTGGCTCAAACCTATAATCCTAATTTCTCAGGAGGCTGAGATCTGAGAACTAAGGTTAGAAGTCATTTAGACAAATCTGAGAAATTCTTATCTCCAATTAATAACAAAAACTTTTAGAATAAGCAAGAAGTAGAGGTGTGGCTCAAGTGTAGTGACATCTGTAGGCAAAAAGCCAAGTGAGACCATGATGCTCTGAATTCAATCCCATTAGAAAGAAGAAAAAAAGGCTGGGAATGTGGCTTAGTAGTAGAGTGCTTGCCTAGGATGCATAAAGTCCTAAGTTCAATTCCTCAATACCACATAAACAGAAAAAGCTGGAAGTGGCACTATGGCTCAAGTGGTAGAGTGTTAGCCTTGAGCAAAAGAAGCTCAAGCACAGTGTCCAGGCCTTGAGTTCAACCCTCAGGACTGAGAGATAGAAGAAAGAAAAGAAAAGAAAAGAAGAAAGAAAGAGAGAGAGAGAAGAAAGAAAGAAAGAAAGAAGGAAGGGAGGGAGGGAGGGAGGGAGGGAGGGAAAGGAATGGATGGAGGGAGGGAGGGAGGGAGGGAGGGAGGGAAGAAGGGAGAGAGGAAGAAAGGAAGGAAGGAAGGGAAAAAAACATACAGTTTTACAACACACTGTGCTGAAGAGGCTTGGCAAACAGGCGCAGGTCTCTGCAGTGCTGGGAAGGTAAACTAGGCCATTGCAGATTATCAAAATTGTCAGCCCCTGTTTCCTGTGGCCTAGCAATTTTACCTCTGGAAACATACTTTGCAGACAGACTTGCATCAGAGTCATGATGTTCATTATATTCATGATGTTTATAAATAGTCATTGTAACACTGACTGTAATAGTAAGAAAAGGGAAACAAACCAAATGTCCCTCAACAGACAGTAGTTAAATAAATCAAAGCACAAACCAGATGCTGGTGGCTCACATCTATAATCCTAGCTACTCAAGAGGCTGAGATCTGAGGATCATAGTTTGAAGCCAGCCCAGGCAGGGAAGTCCATGAGACTCTTTTCTCCAATAAACTACTCAGAAAAGGCCAGAAGTGGCTCTGTGGTTCAGGTAATAGAGCACTAGCCTTGAGCCAAAGAAGCTCAGGGACAGCACCCTGACCCTAAGTTCAAGCCCCAGGACCAGCACAAAAAAACATATATAAATCAACCAATCAGGGGCTGGGAAGGTGGCTCAGTGGTAGAGCGCTTGCTTTGCATGCATGAGGCCCTGGGTTCGATTCCTCAGCACCACATAAGCAGAAAAAAAAAAGCCGGAAATGGCGTTGTGCTCAAGTGGTAGAGCGCTAGCCTTGAGCTGAAGAGCTGAGGGACAGCGCCCAAGCCCAGAGTTCAGGCCCACGACCAGACCCCCCAAAAAATACAGCCAGGTGCTGGTAGCTATAATTGTAACTACTCAGGAGGCTGAGATCTAAAGATTGAGGTTCTAAGTCATCCCAGGCAGGAAAGGCTGTGAGATTAACCACCCAAAACCCAGAAGTGGAGCTATGACTCAAAGTGGTAAAGGGCTAGCCTTGAGTGAAAAAGCTCAGGGACAGCACCCAGGCCTTGAGTTCAAGCTCCAAGACCAATAAAAGCAAAACAAGCTTTCATTTAAGTCTGGATAAAAAGAAGATGTATTTATAATTGACTGGGCATGCGAAAAGGAACTACACAAAGACATGTAAGAGATAATTACCTTAACCTGGCAGTGGTTACTGGATGGCTAAAGAAACAAGACTGAATTTCTTGTTGTTGTTGGTGGTGGTGGTGGTGATGGGGCATGAACTCTGGGCCTGGGCGCTGTCTCTCAGCTCTTCAGCTCAAGGCTAGCACTCTACCACTTGAGCCACAGTGCCACTTGCATTTTTTTCTGCTTATGTGGTGCTGAAGAATTGAACCCAAGGCCTCACGCATGTGAGGCAAGCACTCTATCACTGAGCCACATTACCAGCCCCTGAAAATATTTTTTTATGCCAGTCTTGGGGCTTGAATTTAAGGCCTGAGCACTGTCTTAGTGCTTTTGTGCTCAAAAGCACTCTACCACTGAGAGCCACAGTTCCATTTTAGCTTTTTTGGTAGTTAGTTGAAAATAAGAGTCACGGGCTAGGAATGTAGTTTAGTGGTAGAGTGCTTGCCTAGCATGTGTAAAGCCCTGGGTTCGAATCCTCAGAACCACATCAAAAGAAAAAGCCGGAAGTGGCACTGTGGCTCACATGATAGAGTGCTAGCCTTAAGTAAAAGAAGTTCAGGGATAGTGCCCAGAACCTGAGTTCAAGCTCCAGGACTGGCAAAAAAAAGTCTCACTTGCTTGAAACAGTGATCCTCAGATCTCAGCCTCCTGTGTAGTTAGCATTATAGACGGGAGCTAATCTTACTGTGTAACCGTTTATGTTTTACAGTTTTATTCAAAATTTTAAATAAAAAAGTGTGTTCCATTCAGGTACAGGTAGCTATGCCCCTAGCTATTCAGAAAGCTGAGAAGCTAGCCCAGGCAGAAAAGTCTAAGAGACTCCATCTCCAAAATCACTAGCAAAAAGCTAGGCTAAAGACATAGGTCAAGTGGTAGGGCACCAACTGAGCAAGCAAGCTGAGTGAGTACAAAGGCCTGAGTTCAAACCCCAGTACCAAGTGAAAAAATGTGACCCTTACATGTGTGCAGCTCTAATCCCTGTCCATGTGGTAGGACTTCAGCCCTCTGTAAACCAGAAATAGCGTACACCTGCCTTCCACTACAGCTGCTGACAAATCCTGGTTCACACCATGTCACTGCCCTTCCCAACAGTAGCCTCAGTGCTGTTTGCTTAGTATTTCTGCTTTGCTGCCTCTGGACACATGGTAGGTTGGCAGGCCCTGTAAATGGCCTCCCAAGTGAGGGAGATAGAAACCACTGAGATTTGGGAGCCGCTTGTCTCAGCAGCATGGCTTGGCCTATCCTGACTAATACAGGTATAGATACCGCCAATTCCTGAAGTAACATAAGCAACTGTATGTAGGATTGAGACTGGAACTGCCCTTGGGTCCAGGGTCAGCGGGGCAGGAACAGGGGTTCAGGGTCCATGCCACTCACACCACTGTCTCAATGATGCTCTGGATCTCCTGATGCAGCTCTGGCTCCTCCCGGTACGTCTTGAGCAGCAGCAGGGCCTGGTCATAGCTGGCACAGTAGACCTTATAAACACGCTCAAACTCCTCTTGAAATTCCAGGAATAAATTACCTGAGGGGGAGCAAGCGAAGGGGTTAGCATGTTTCTGCATGTCCCCTTGCATGGAACAAGGAGGTGGGGGTGACACTGTCAGACTCCTCCAGCATGTCACTGTGGACCAGTTACCACATCTGCCCAAGTTTGCTTTCCACCTGCTTCCTAAGGCTTGAGTGAAAGAATGGTGTAGGTTGAGTGCAGGCTGAACACAGGCTGAGTACATCTAGAGAAAATATTTAGCACTAGCACTGTTTTAGACTGGATTTTTTCCCCCAGATTTTGGAATATTTACATTCATAATGAGATGTCTTGAGGATAGGACCCAAAACTAAACATAAATTTCATTTATGTGTCATTTATATACATAGCTTGAAGGTAATTTGATAGCATGGTTACAGTGCATCTAGGGGTTTTGTTTTGTTTTTTGGTGGTACTAGGGATTGAATTTGGGGCCTCCCACTTGCTAGGTAAGAGCTCCAATACTTGAGCCATTCCCCTTAGTCATTTTGTTTCTTAGTTTGTTTTTTACTTCAATCTTACACTTGTGTCCTGGTTAGACTGCTTCTGAGCAACAGGAGTTACAGGCATGTGTCATCATGACCCGCCCAGGAGTACCTATGTTTTGACTGTGACCTACTAGGAGAGGTTAGGTAAGGAATTTTCCACTTGTGGCATCCTATCAGTTCTCAAAAATTTGAATTTTGGAGCATTTCAGATTTTGGACTTAAAGATTAAGACTGAAGCCAGGCACTGGTGGCTCACACCTGCCTGCAATCCTAACTACCCAGGAGGCTAAGATCTGAGAATCACAGTTCAAAGCCAGTCTGGTCAGGAAAGTCTGAGAGAATCTTATTCTCCAGTTAACTACCAAAAAATTGGAAGTGGAAAGCGCTAGCCTTGAGCAAAAGAGCTCAGGGACAGCATCCAGGTCCTGAGTTCAAGCCCTACAACCAATAACAACAAGAAGAAAAAAAAGATTAGGGATTATAATACATGGTATCTATAATCACATCAACAACAGCAATTATATTCATACTGAACACTGCTTTACACTGTGCTTTACAAAATACCCTTATGACCACTGGCTTATTTTTTATTTTGTGAAACTATACAACCTAGGTAGGCCTTGAAGTTTTGATCCTCATGCCTCAGTGCTTGGATTACAGGAGTATAGCACTACACTCTACTATTATTAGCTTATTTTATATTTACAATTAACTACAGGTGTGCCAGGTGCTAGTGGCTCATGCCTGTAATCTTATTACTCAGAAGGTTAGCTACTTAGCTAAACATGAGGATCAATGTTCAAAACCAGCCTGGGACTGGGTGCCGGTGGCTCATGCCTATAATCTTCACTACTCAGAAGGCTGAGATCTGAGGATTGAGGTTCAAAGCCAGCCCAGGCAGGAAAGTCCGTGAAACTTTTATCTCCAATAAAACCATCAGAAAATCAGAAATAGTGCTGTGGCTCAAGTCGTAGAGCACTCGCCTTGAGCTGAAGTGCTGAGGGACAGCGCCCAGGCCCAGAGTTCAAGCACCACAACCGACAAAACAAACAAACAAAAAAGCCTGGACAGTAAAGTCCATGAGACTCTTATCTCCAATTAATCAGAAAAAAAATGAAAGGGAAAATGTGACTCAAGTGTAGAACAGCAGCCTTGAACTAAAAAGCCAAGAGTTCAAGCCCTGAGTTCAAGTTCTAGGACCCGCCCCCCTCAAAACTTAACTGTATCTGAGAAGTACATCCAGGAAACCCCAGTTTACCTACATGTAGTACAGTACAGGTAGCCCCTAGTGAGAAAAGGACTTGTGTTAGAACTAGGGCCCAGAACAGATGCCAGAACAGATGCCATAGATTGTTGTGAAAGATAATAAATCATTCATAGATTCTGTATGTTCAGATTCAGACAGCCAGGGATCAAATATAATAATCAAAAGGCCAAGTATGGTGGCTAATCTCAGCTAGATAAAAAGTTGTAGGTAGGACAATTGAAGTCCAAGGCCAGCTCCAGGCAAAAATCAGAAGATTCTATCTGAAAAACAACCAAAAGAAAAAGGACTCAATGAGTGGTTCAAGTATAAGTATGAGTTCAAGTCCCAGTACTGGCAAAAAAAAAAATTTACTACCCAAGGACCCAAACCCTACTTTGGCTCAGGTCTAGCCAATCCTCAGGATGAGCTGACAGGAGACATCCCTCAGGAAACTGGGAAGAATTTGATAAGGAAAGATGGCCCCAAAGCTGCAGCTAGGGAGAATCTAGACAAGGTCTGTCACCTGCAGAGATGACCCAGTGGGAGCCAGCTTGGCATAGCCCTGACATCTAGAGCCATTCTCATCATCTCTGTAGCATGGAGTGGTCCCCAGGAACATGACAAACATGACAAAGGAACTGTGTCACAACCAGTGTGACCAGGGGCATGGTGATCCCGCAAGCAAAGGAAAGAGGAAGAGAGAGGCAGGAAGGGCAGGACTCCAAAACAAGGAGAGAGAGAGAGAGAGAGAGAGAGAGAGAGAGAGAGAGAGTGTGTGTGTGTGTGTGTGTGTGTGTGTGTGTGTGTGTGTGTGTGTGTGTGTGTGTGAGATTAAACTAGGGCTTGAATTCAAGACCTGGGCATTGTCCTTTAGCTTTTTCATAGCTTCTTCACTCAAGTCTGATGCTCTACCATTATGAGCCACACCTCTACTTCAGGCCTTTTGCTGATTAATTGGACTTCTTTACCTGTGCTGGCTTTGAACTTTGATCCTCAGTTCTCAACCTCTTGAGCTAGGATTATAGGAGTGAGCCACCAATACCCAGCCTCTTCTCATTCTGGTCCTGCCTCATTTGATAGGAGTAAGTCTGTCAAGAGACTGTTTAAGAATTTTTCCTAAGGCTCAAACATCTCTTACATTTCTATGATCATGTCATAGAAAAAGGGCAAGACTTTTTGTGGCAAAACTTGGTTGAAAAATGGAGACAGCCTGCAGAATCCAGCATAGCCTGACCTGGCACATAAACCCATGGAAGAAAAGAAAAGCCAAATGAGTTCTTTGTCCTCTCTTTGGCCAACCCTAAGGGACAAAGGAAGAGGAGGCTCTGTATGCCCCTAGAAGTTTATGTTATTGATCTCCAATGCATCATAAGGAGAGCGATCTTTAAGAGGAGAGTAGGGCCCAGAGACTAGATACTATCTAAGTGCCCTGCTGCCTCTGAAAGGTTGTATTCCAGGTTGGTTCCACTGAGCTGCACTTCCCAAGAACTCTGGAGACAGTTGTCCAATGAGGAGAAGTTGCCAAGGCTCCTTTGCCTACCGATGAGGTGCACTTGTTCCTCTTCCTTGGATGCTGTCTCCTGAAGCCCATGAAGAAATCGGCTGTTCACCTGGACAATCTCATCCATGTTTGAGAACAGGACATTCAGATCCCCTGGCAGCAGCTGGAAGGAATACAGAGCCATGGGAGTTGGGTGTGGGAAGTCTGCAAAAGGGCCTTTGTTTAGCAGGGCTTGGAAAACAGACCTGAACACCACTATCAGGGCCCCATCTCTCTTGGGAAGACTGACTGCTCCAGAAAAATGCAGTTGTAATCCTAAAGCTTGGGGCAGGGGGAGAGGGAATTGTAATCTTAAAAATCAGGCATTGGCCATCCAGGTACCAGTGGCTCATGCCTGTACTTTGGCTACTCAGGAGGCTGAGCTCTGAGGATTGTAGTTCAAACTCAGCCCTGGAAGAAAAGCCCATGAGATTCTTATCTCCAATTAACTACCAAAAAAGCTGGAAGTGGGGCTGTGACTCAAGTGGTAGAGGGCTAACCTTGAGCAGAAAACTCAAGGACAGTGCCTAGATCCTGAGTTTAAGCCCCAGGACTGGCACACCCACATACACAGACAGACAGACAGAGAGAGACACACACACAATAATAATAATAATAATAATAATCAGGCATTTTCATTATTCTACAGAAAAAAAAGAAAGATAAGGAGAATACCCAGCATGGAAGGTAAAGTTGAACTGGAGTTCTATCCTAGGTCTGCTGCCAACTGTTAGCTTTCTTCTACCAGTTTCCCCATCTGTCATCTGCCAGTGGGAAGTGAGATCTCCTTCCAACTCTGTCATACTTGGCACTTGCCACCATTTTGTGAAGATGTATTCCAAACTCTAGCCCCTATAGCCAGGCTATACCACATTTAAAAAAACAAACGAACATGGGACATCTACATATATGTGTGGCTGTGGAAGTATAGTAGTGCTCTCTCCCTCTCTCTGTGTGTCTCTCTGTCTGTCTCTGTCTCTCTGTCTCTGTCTCTTGTCTGTCTGTCTGTCTGTCTCTCTCTCTCTCTCTCTCTCTCTCTCTCTCTCTCTCTCTCTCTGTCTCTCTCTCTGTCTCTGTCTCTGTCTCTTTTGGTGAGAAAGTCTTTATGTAGCCCTGCTGGTCTTAAACTCCCAGTCCTCTTGCCTGGGATTACAGGTTATGTGCCAACACACCAGCTTGCAGGCCTTGATTTTTTGCTAAAAATAAGTAAGGATATATATTAGGTTGTTTAGTGCCTACAGAGAAAAGTCCTTATTGATCTAAAGGGTTTAAATAAGATACATGTTTTACCTTCTACCTTATTTGCTTTGGTATTTTACTCATTCAGCAATCACTAATTGAAATTCTATTATGTGTCAAGAGTGAGATATGTAGAACTAAAAAGAGTCTGCAGAGCTCACACTCTTGAAACTTTATAGAGAGAGTTGTATTTTTTTAGAAACTGGGAGGAAAGTGATGCAAAACTTAAGCACTATCTATAAACCCAGAACAGTGGCACTTTCCCCGTACCACTGCCCTGCAGAGCAACAATTCAAATATAGGTCAGTTTAAGCCATCTATATTAAACTGGAAAGGGACTGTTCCTTAGCTCACTTAATTCCCTGAGATAATTATTCCTCTCTCCACTTAGTAGACGGATACACCAGGATTCTGAGCCATTCAAGACCTTGGGGAATGTGGCATGGGCAATAAATAGAGTCCTAGGGCTGAGATCAAGATATCAAACTTCATACCCTGCCCTCTTCCTTTCCATCAAGCCTTCCCAGGGTGAATTTGAGGTGTCACAGGTAACCCAGATTTGCCAGACAGAGAGTCTGTGTGTGACCCCATTCAAGTACCTGCTGGAGGCGGCTCCTGATGTCAGAGGTGCAGAGGTGGAGCATGTGTAGATAGGAGACCTCTGTGTCCATGAGCTCCCTGATGGCCAGCCTCTGATGAAGCAGAGATCTGTCCTCAGCCTGACCTTCCAGGCTGGGACTCTCTGACCTGGAGGAGAGCTCATCTGCCTCAGGATTGGCCATGTTCACAGGCTGTGGAAAGAAAAACAAAAAGCAAAACCTGATTCACTCCTGGAAAACTCTATTAAGAAATGCTAGATATGGGCTGGGAAGGTGGCTCAGTGGTAGAGCACTTGCCTTGCATGCTCGAGGCCCTGGGTTCGATTCCTCAGCACCACATAAGAAAAAAAAGCTGGAAGTGGCGCTGTGGCTCAAGTGGTAGAGAGCTAGCCTTGAGCTGAAGAGCTGAGGGACAGCATCCAGGCCCAGAGTTCAGGCCCCACGACCGGACCCAAAAAAAAAAAAAGAAAGAAAGAAATGCTAGATGCATGCCAATGGCTCACACTTGTAATCCTAGATACTCAGGAGGCTGAGATCTGAGGATCATGGTTCAAAGCTAGCCTGAGCAAGAAACTCTTATTTCCAATTAACCACCAAAAAGCTTGAATTAGAGTTGTGGCTCAAGTGGTAGAATGCCAGCCTTGAGGGATAGAGCCAAGGAACAATACCCAGGCCTTGAGTGGGAAATTTGAAAAGGCAAAAAAACTCTCAGATCATTGCTGACATCTTAAATTTCTTTCCTACGATGTAAGCAGTGTGCTTTTCTGACTTTTCTTCTAATTTTCCCCTAGCTCTTGACTCAGATTTTTTAAAAATCTGCCTCCGTATAGTCCCCCTCCCCTCTCAGTGGCTCCACGTGGTCACGTTCCCATTAGGACACACACAGACTCCAGAATCATCCTTCCAAATCCTTATCACCCAGTCCTGATAGTACCCAGGGCATCCATCCTACACAGGCTTTCAGTTCAAGCTCCCTGATCCATAGCGTGCCAGCAGGGCATTTTCCACTGTACAGGCTTTAATCACTCCCTGCTGCTTTGTGTTCCTTCTGTTCCACCTCGTGTTCCCCTCCCCCCGCCCGCCCCTCTCCCCTCCTCAGCTAGGGAGCGTACAGGATTTGTCTCCACCTCCACCCTCATTTTCTGCCTCTGTATTTTGCACCTGCTGTGTCCCTCTAGTCTCTTATCCTCCAACACTGTTTTCTCTTTTTGAAGCCACTCCAAATCCCTACCTCCTCTTGTACTGTACTTTGGTTCTCTGGAACTCCCACTAGCCCTTTTCTCTCAGGTTAATACAATATAAAGGCTCACACCTATAATCGTAACTACTCGGGAAGCTAAAACCAGAGGTTCAAAGCCAGCTCAAGCAGGAAACCCCATCAGATTTTATCTCTAATTGGCCACCAAAAAGCCCGAAGGGAGCTATGATTCAAGTGATAGAGTGACAGCCTTAAGCAAAAACAATCTAAGGGAAAGTGGCAAAGACCTGAACTCAAATACCGACGGGCATGCACATGCCCACACACACACACACACACACACACAAATTATAAAGTCAATAGTATGAATAAAAATAGCCTGAAGAATCTTCCTACTACCAAACACTTGGAGATGTCAGAAGCTCCCCAAGGTGGAGCTTACAAGAGATAGTAGAAATTGCCAGGGTCCAAACTGGAAAAGACTGAACCAGAGCTGAGTGACTGAGCATAAGCAGTGGGCCCAAAGTGCAGTGGGTGTGCAGGAAAGAGAGCATGGCCCATCTCAGCAAAGGAGGGGCTTTACTGGAAGTCTCATAAAAAATGAGACTCAGAGCCGGGCGCTGGTGGCTCATGCCTGTAATCCTAGCTACTCAGGAGGCTGAGATCTGAGGATCACGGTTCAAAGCCAGCCCGGGCAGGAGAGACCGTGAGACTCCTATCTCCAATAAACCACCAGAAAACCGGAAGTGGCGCTGTAGCTCAAGTGGTAGAGCGCTCGCCTTGAGCTGAAGAGCTGAGGGACAGCGCCCAGGCCCAGAGTTCAAGCCCCACGACCGACCAAAAAAAAAAAAAAATGAGACTCAGCAGGGGACTAGTGGCTTCTCAGGAAGCTGAGATCTAAGGCTTTTGGTTCTGAGCCAGCCTGAGCAGACAATTCTGAGACTCTGATGTCCAATTAATCAGCAAAAAGCTGGGACCAGGAGCTTGGCTCAGGTGGTAGGGTGCCAGTGATAGCAGAAACCACCAAGCAAAAGCTCTAGGCCAGGGGCTGGGAAGATGGCTCAGTGGTAAAGCACTTGCCTTGCATGCATGAGGCCCTGGGTTCGATTCCTCAGCACCACATAAGCAAAAAGAAAAAAGCCAGAAGTGGCGCTGTGGCTCAAGTGGTAGATCACTAGCTTTGAGCTGAGGGACAGCGCCCAGGCCCAGAGTTCAGGCCCCACGACCGGACCCAAAAAAAAAAAAAAAAGCTCTAGGCCAAGAGTTCAAGTTTCAGCCTGTGTGTGTGTGTGTGTGTGTGTGTGTGTGTGTGTGTGTGTGTGTGTGTGTGTTTTATTGTGAAAATTCGTAGACTAAGGCTTTAAGTGGTGATAGGCCAAAAACAATTCTTCAGAAAGCCGGGCCCTGGTGGCTCACGCTTGTAATCCTAGCTACTGAGGAGGCTGAGATCTGAGGATACAGGTTCAAAGCCAGCCCAGGCAGGAAAGTCCGTGAAACTCTTATCTCCAATAAACCACCAGTAAACCGGAAGTGGGGCTGTTGCTCAAGTGGTAGAGCGTTAGCCTTGAGCTGAGGGACAGCACCCAAGCCCAGAGTTCAAGCCTCATGACAAAAAAAAAAAGGGATGTCATAGTCTTTTCTATCCAGGCTGGCTTCACACCATGATTCTCAGATCTCATCCTTCTGAAATGAGTTTTTTTGCTGTTTTTGTATATGTGTGTATTATATATTTTCATAGTGAGGCCTGAACTCAGGTCTTGTACTGGATAGGTAAGAACTTTACCACTTTAGCCATGTCCCTCAAACAAAATTAAAATTTTTAAATAAACTAAAACTCTTGGCCAATGGGTCACCATCTTAGCTACTCAGGAGGCTGAGATCTGAGAATCAAGGTCTGAAGCCAGCCCAAGCAGAAATCTCTGTGAGATACCTATCTCCACTTAACTTGGTGGAACTGGAGTTGTAGGTAGAGTGCTAACCTTGAGCACAAATGCTCAAAGATAGCACCTAGGCTCCAAGGCAGATATAAAAAATAAGAAGAAATTTACATATATATGATTTCATATATATTTATTCCATTTATTTTATATATGAATAGATATATCTTTTAAGTGATCCACTATCTTTGCAACACTCAGAACAAACACAGTTCAACAGCCTGGGAGAGCAGGCTGAGAGCTCTTGTTTCATTTCCGGCTTGACCCAGGCTGATAAGAAGGCTAGTCTCAGAGAACACACCCTAGAAACACTTCGATCCTTAAAGTAAATTGTGTGGCTGGTTAGTACTAGTAAAATCCTTGCACAGTTCAACCCTAGCCCTGAGATAACCACCAGGTCTTTTGATGTGCAACTAAGAACTAACATGGGGGCAGGGTTAGGTTAGTGGTAGAGCATGTCTTACAGTTGTCTTCGTCTTGGGCTCAATCTCCAACTTTCCCACTCAAAAAAGAACTAAAATCAACCTGGCATACGCTTGATGGTAAAACACAATAAATAATTTTTGTAAATGTGCTGGTCCCGAGCTCAGTGCCTGAGCCCTGTTCCTGTGCTTTTCTGGTCAAGGCTAGCACTCTACCACGTAAGCTACATCTCTAGTTTGCCTTTTCGGTGGTTAACCGAACAAGTGATTTGGCCAATTATGATCATTCACACTTTCAATTCTAGTAATTAGAGGCAGAGATAGGAGAAGTAGAAAGATCAAGAATTCCAGAGGACCCTGGGTTACATAGTGAGACTCTGTCTAAAACAAAACAAAACAGGTAACAAAATTCCCTAGCAGGAAAGTTGAGTATCCATTAGCTATCCACCCTAGCTAGGTTTTAAATAATAATAATAAATAAAAAGAAGTAGAAGAAGAAGCAACACTTGGGGTCTGAAACTCTAGGGGCAACTCGTGGAAGGCTGTCCATGGTAAAGTTCAGGTACCATGAGGCTTGAAGACCTTACTTCCTTCAGGAAATAAACACCTGGAGTAATGAGACTGGCCACATGGGAACTCCAGCTAAAGAGCATGGTTAAGGGATCCCTACAGTAGCCAAAAGAGAAGCTTATATACAGAGAGTATCCAGGACTCTAAGATTCAGTATCCAGAAATGACAAAATATAAAGATCACTTCCCAGGACTTATCCCTATTATAACTACCAAGTGTATTTTCAGACTCATGCTCAGGAAAGTTAGAGAAAGATGAGCTATTGGATAGCTTTGCTTTCCTCTTCTTGGCCCTAAAGAATAGTTGTGAGAGGCACTGGGAAAGTGAGCAGCCAAAAAAAAAAATCTCATTTCAAAGTCTAATTCTGCAATCAGTAGGTTGGATTTCCTAAAATAATATTGTATTACCTCTTTATAGGGCTATTGTAAGATTTCACAAAATAATCCATGTACAAGGTCTAACAAGTATCTGGTACATGGTAAGTTCTTCAAAACAGGAGCTATTGGTTTTTTTCTTTTCTTTTTTTGGTGATAGTATTGAGCCTTGAGCACAGGCCTACAACTCTTGCTTTAGCTTTTTTTTTTTTTTTTTTTTTTTGCTTAAGGCTGGCACTCTACCACATAAGCTATACCTCCTCATCTAGCTTTCTTGGTGGTTTTTAGAGATAAAAGTCACACAGATTTTTCTTCCTGGACTGGCTTCCAATCTAAATCCTCAGATCTCAGACTCCTAAGCAGCTAGGATTACACGCATGAGCCACCAGTACCTAGTTTATTTGTTACTATATTTTTAAATTAGAAATGCTAGTCTGACATTGATCAACTGAAGGAAAAAAATTTGTCTAAGGATACCATGGCTGATCTAGATGTGACCAATCAAATTCAAGCAAGAACAGATAGTCATGATAGTAATCACAGATAATAAAAACTACATACCAGAACTTAAGAATGTAGCCAACACCCCAAAATAGAACTGAGAGATTGGGAGAGGAGTAAGCACATTACTCAGTCCAGCCATGTTGGAGACTGATTCACTTTATTTTTGGTTTTACATGAGCTAA